TGCTGAAAATGTATTTAATTGTCTTCTATTATAATGGTTCTGATACAGTACAATCAATATTTTTTGTAAAAATTGGAATGCTAGATCCATTTTTTTGAACTGGTCCTTTCCATTCATTCATGTTGAATGTTTATTGTATGTATAACACCTCTGTGTTCATTGCCACTCTTTGACTACATTATTCCTGGTGATACCAAACATGCAGTCATCTTTGTTGTTACATCTTCTCTTGGGGGAAAATCCTGTGCGTAGTGTAAGCAGCTCTGCCAAGGCTGAAGGTTTGGAGAAATCTTGTTCCCTGCTCCCTCAAATGGAGGCACTGTTATTCTGAGGTTACTCTTGCAGTTTGCTGGAGGACTCCACAAAGATGGGGAGGGCTTTGCCAGCAGCACTGCATCAGTCACAGCTCAGCTCGTGGGTCGTGCTCCTCTTCTTTACTGAGAATATTATCTTCCATACTAGTAGAGGGGTGAGGTAGAGACAGGATTCACTACTCTGGATTTCTACTGTATGTGTTTTTCCCTTTGATATGCTTTGACCCATCCTGAACATATACCGGGGTGACAAGACTTTTTGTTCCTCTGCAAGGGGTACACCTCTGTTCCCTTTGTGACTTCTGCAAATAGATGGGAAGGATGACTGCTCGCTGAGAATTGTCGCACAGATTTAGGACTTTCCTAGTATTGTCCTCTGAAGCCATTAAACCCTCACTCAGCAGCCATCCAAATATGTTTTGACGCTACAGGGAGGAAACATTTCTCACCTTCATATCTGAATAATTTGGGTGGTGATACTAATGGATTGTTGGTAAGTGATGTTGTAGTCCTCTTAGTTTGTTCAACTACAACAACAATAAAAGAAATCTTTTAAAATGCCCCATTAAAAAAAACCCAGTAATTCCAAGGAGATTATCTACCTCATTAAAAAAAGAATTATAGATAAAGACTGTCTTCATCATAATGGTTACTTTGCCCTTTCTTCTTAGAACAGGGTGCATGCAGATATGTAACTTTCGCAGACCGATGATGTAAGCCGTGTAAGTCATTTTGTCTGTTCTCCAAAGCCTTTGGAAGACTGACTCTTTGAAAACAAGGGTGTTCTGTTTAGTCTTAATTCCAAGATAATTGTCTTGTTACAGGAATGGTACTGGCTTCTTTAATTCAGTGTTGCAGAAAGGCCTCTGGGCACAGAAATTAACATAAGAGATCCTCAGTGTTGCTATGGATCTGCATTTTACAGGTCTAGATGCTTGCAATCCTTATCCTGAATTTGTAGTGATTCTAGTGTGGAGGATGGGAGAAAAGTGTATAGGATAGGGAAGCCTGCAGTGCTGCTGTCTTGAATGTTAGTTACTTATAAGCAGCTTAATAAGTTCATGCTTGTAATTAATCACTTCTAGAATTTAAAATTCAGATTTTTTTTCATCCTTTAAAAATATCAGTTTCATGCAAATAGAAGCAACAGGGAGAGGAATTAGGAGACTTGGCAGTCTTATTTTTCTTCCTAAACTACCTTTCTTAGTTGTAGGACTATAAACATTGGAAAACAGAAAATGCTATACAAATAAAACTAATTTAGAACACAGGAAGAGGTCTTTTAATTAAGATCCTTTATAGAGACGGTCTCTGTGATACTGTGTAGTTACCTTACAGACTTTTCTGTGGTTCAGAAACCTTTCAATGTTCTGCTGGGCTTGGACTGATAACCATACTGCAGTACATCGCAATTACGGTGTGTATTAGCAGTGAAAATGTATTCCTCTACAGGGAAAAGGAAAAGGGGAGGAAAAAGCATGAGACAAGTAATTGTTTAAACAAGGAAGAGATATCTGGGGAAAAAAAAAAAGTATATCTTGACTATCCGCTTTGTAAGGTGAGAATGTTGAGACATCTTCCAGGAAAGCACAGGCAATTAAAAGATACAGCAGGAAGGAGTCTCATTGCTGAAAGGCACAAATGTAGGAGAATGCCAAGTTACTGTGCTACAGTAATTAAGAACCATTCCAGCCTGAATGCATCTTAAGTAACTTAACTAAGACACAGCATTGAGGTAAACTGAAGAAGGCTTTCCAGAAAATAAACTTTTTGCTGCAGTTTATTCTGCAAAAAGTTTATTTTCTTTTCCTTACAGCTGAAACTAATTGTAACAGATGCCAGCCTAGTGGGGCTAAATCAATTGTAAAATGTTTCAAGCAGATATTTCATACTGCAGTCACATGTTACTTTGGGGTGGAAAAAGAAGCATTCCCTATTATAAAACAACATTCTAGCAATAGTTAGGACATACAGACATTTCTGTATTTACCTCTCTCGAATCTTGTCAGTCCTCTGAATTCCTGTTCACCAGTGCAACAGGTAGACCTCACAGAGCAAAGAAATCCCTGTGCTCTGTTGGAAGCAGAGAACTGAGTTTTAGCAACTAAGTCGGGGTAGGCAGCTTTCGCATAAAGTGGTTCTGGAAACCAGGACAACTGTAGAGACGCTTGGCAAGAGTCCTCTGATCCACAAGAACTTCCCCCCCTTCGGTTTTATCCCAGCAATTCCAAGCAGGTCCCTCTGCCCCAAACACTCCTTTTGAGTCAAAAGTGTTGAACTGAACGGAGAGCATAGACTTTTCAGGTGTCTGCAATCCCCCCCCCGCCTCTCCACGTTACAGGTGTATGTCTGCACAAGGTATCACATGAGAGGTGATGGCCTGTGGATCTCAGCTGCCAAACATCACTTGGGACCCCAGGCAGCTGTTGAGGGGGTTTAGATCGGTGGTCAGACTGGGAAATCTGGGAATAAGGGGTTCTCGAATCAGAGAGGAGCAGCACCTCGGTGAGATGTGACTCTTGCGTTCAGAACATGCATCTGGGGGAGAAAGCAAGTAGCACGTGAGGCTGAACAGGTCAGAGGATAATCCTGTCAGCTCTTGTTACCTTCCCATAGCCCATAGGGTAAAAGGCCATCACAGAGCTGTATGACCAAACATGAATGGGAAAGTAAGTCCCACTATCACCTTACATTTTTAGGATGTTCTTGGAATATAAATCACCTTATATTTTTAGGATATTCTTGGAATATAAATGTTGTATCAGGATTATGCCGATAACACAGTCAGGGTGTAACTTCATTCAACATGAATAACACACAACGTGGCTACAACACACCGGTTATCAAGATGTATAAAGAAAAAATCAATGCGTATGAAGAAAAAGTTGTGGCTTTTCTTGAAATAGCAAATAAATTGATTGAAACTGTGGTGGTTATGGCAAGAACAGGAGCAGGATATCTGTAAGACAAGCAGAATAGAGAATGTCTCTCGGCAGTCAGCAAAATGTTTTCCACAGCTCATCTTGCAGATTTAAGCTCTCCTTTGCTTGATGCATTAGCCACAAACATTTAGATTTCCATATGTTTGATTAGCAGAGAATAGTGTCTGTCTGGTTTGTAAAATCAGCTCACTGAATTGTGTTGTCCGTTGCTGTATGCTGCATGAACCGTGCGACCAGCCACCGCAAGGCAGTGGCAGTGTTTCTGCTACCTGGCTGAATTATTTCTTTCAAATCCTTGGAGAGCTTTAAGGACCTTTAAGCATTGCTGTGCAAATACATGATGAGTGAGGATTTGCGGCTGACATTTTTCCCTTTGGAACATGCTAGTGAA